GCATCATCAGCCCTGACAAAAATTTGAGATAAACAGTGGTGACAACAATAATGTGTGACTCACGGTGTCTTGGGGTGTATTGCTCCAGTCCTCTCGCAGTCATAGATGATGAAGCTCCCAGATACCACAGATGTGCCATTCACTTTTATCGCCACAGAAACAGTCAGGTGATCTGGAGAAACAAAGGCATGTAAACAACATTCACATGCATGTGTCAAGCATTCGAGATTGGTATCACTGTCATAACACAAAGTAGACACAGGACATCCTCATGCTACACTGACATTGCTGCATTTTGAAGGGTGAGAAAGGATATTCCGTTTGTTCTAACCACGTACAGGAACTGTACTTTTATTGAGATGATGAGATTCATGACTGGCAGCATTGCCTGTGCTCAGGCTCACCTGTGCCAGGGAGGATGGGTTGGTAGTTTTGTCGAGGAAGCAGGGGACAGGTCTGGATCAGAGTGAGACCATAGTCCAGGTGCACGGTGGCAGCTGTAGAAACACCCGGCCCATATTCACACTCCACCCGGGAGCCAACCAGATCAGGAACACTACCATTTATCAGAATGCCGACATCCTGCGAGCATAACAGATATAAGAGCATAAATGTGAATAACTGCTCATCTTATTAGAAAATAATTACAAATAAATTCAATTCTGCACGCCCACACGCATATTTTCAAATCTAGTGTATCTACAGTTAGTCTTTGGTACGGGGCAAATGGTGCTGGCATTACTTCAAGTTTGTTCAGGAATTCAGGCAGAGAAATAGAGAAACTAATGTGCAATGAAGAAACAGATGGCACAGTGCTACATTCACATCTAAATCTGGCTATGTGATTAAGTATGACAGACATATAATGAGAAACATAGCACCTAACTGACATGACTGAATTTCAGTTAAATGATTTCAATGTGAGAAAAAAGTAGGGGGGTGGGGGGGCAGGAAGACAAAGATGGTTAGGCAGAGAGGAAGAGCAACATCACATATTCAGCAGATACGAACTTGCCTTAAAAATATGCTATTGTTCAATGGAATTGATCATTTCCTGACTAAGGCCTTGACTTCCTGCCTGCTGCTTCCTGTTTGGGAAGACAACCTTGAGCTGAGCTTCCTGTTCCTCTTAAGGATGCCTGTGGATCAGGCAGCTGGTATATCTATTACAGCCCAGCCAAACTGACCTACATAACAAGCAAATATCCACAATTAATGAACCAATTAATGACCTGTCGTCTCTCAGCCTCGTCTCATTACGAGCTGTAATTAAAGGTCAAATACATTCTAAGTGTCATATTTGTTTTATGCTTCTATTACATGATACTGACTGGAAATGAAAAACAACCGTTTACATATCATACCCCAAGTATGATGCAGGCCCTTTTTTTGCCAGATTATATTATCCTTCTGTAATTTGATTAAAATAAGACTGGTGGTGTTATGTAGCACTCAATATTTGACAGTTTCTCTATGTCCCAAATCCGTACAATAAAACTTATAGGTAAAGTGTAAAAGATCACAGTTTTTTACAGGCAAAGCTCATCATCCAAATCAAGCAGCTATGATGCAGCTTAACCTAGTCCAAGGTTCATTTTCAGTGTGGCAGGAGAGCCTGTGTGTCTTTTTGTTTGTCCACCAACCTGCATTCCTTTATTTGCACAGCCGAAACTCATGTAAAGCGGATTGGAATCATGCAGGATGTTCTTGATAATAATAGTTTTGTTGCTATATGTTTCCACAATGTTTTAAGATGTTGATAAAAATCTAATTAAAGAGGAGGTTAGGGTGGTGAAGGAATGCAGCACAATGCTTTATTTATAATGGTATCTTGTCATATATTCTACCTTTATCAAAAAAATCCTGCGATTTGAACATTGCACTTGGCCAGATTGCGATTGAGCTAATGTTTCGATCCATTGTTTGTTTCCATTGCTCAGCCCTATAATAATTGACAGTAGTGTAATGATAATAGTGTGTGTAATAATAGTGAGAGGTGTCAGGGTACGAAGGTGGTCATGAGACAACAGCTTTAAATACACTGCCCCCATTACAACCATAACTTAACGAAGAGCAACACTAGTGTCTATTTGACTTGCGAAAAGGTTGTGATGGACAACAATAACATGGAGGGAGTTAATGATACCTTGATGTCTGCAGAGACGCTAATCTCTGAGGGTGTCAGGGTCATGGATGGACACTGCTGCAGGCCTTCACCAATGCGGATCCAGGAGCGTGCCAACAGCCCCTGAGCACACTCCTTCTGGATGGTACAGCTGGAAAAAGTGACAGACAGAAATATTGGTACAGTAATCATATCATATTTAGGTGCAGGTCAGATTAAACACAAAGACACTGGGGTGTGATGACATGACAAAACAAATTCCCTAGTTAGCACAGAAAACTTGGCTGCAGCTGAAATGTTGGCCTAACATTCTGGGGTTAGATTTCCGTCATCATGTCCCATATCAAAATGGGATCATCTCATATGTTGCAATGGCTTGTCAGTGCTACAGCTGGTAATCGAGACCCAATCGGTCACTCGACTACCAAACTGGTGTGTGTGAATGCGGAGCTTTAAGGTCAACATTTTATGCTTTGTGAGGAGAGGATGAATCTTCGTGTCTCCATTTCATTCCAGGACTTGATGAATTCTTACCGTTGGGTTTTATGGTCTGCTTCCCACACATTTATGAGGTGCTCTGGTCTCCTAATGTCACATTCAGACCTCAGCTGTCAGTTTATCCAGCTCAACACAAGAGACTACTTGACTCCAGGTCACACACATTGCTATGGCAACCCATCCTGCAGTCACTAAGATCAGGGGCCAGTGGCAGATAGTTGAATAAAAATATTACTGATTCTTAATCTGTGTGGACCAACAACGCATCCATGGACTTGTGTGTGTTCATGTGGACATGCATAGAGCTCACAGTGTGCATGTTCCCATTTGTGAGTACAATGAAGGTCTAGGACAGATGAATTGTAAGAGGGCATTCAACAAGCAAGGTGGCCTCACGCTCTGACTTCTGCTTCACTAATGAACTTCACTGGCCGTTGGCACCGAGCTCAGTTCATCTGCAGTGCAGATTGGAAGGACAAAGTGACCTCAGAGTAAGGAGAAACCAAAGAGGCCCCATTTAGCAACATCCTAACATGCCACATAATGAGTTTGGCACATCTCACTTCCCTCTCACACTTCCATAGCTGTTTAAAATAAAGTGTGTGTCTGTGTGCCCGCATGGCTGTAAGTGTGAGTCCGGACAGTGAATGTCCAGATTCTCAGTCCCATTGGCACTGTGGGACTGTGAAGGGCCATGAGGTCAGCTGCTGAACTAAAAATAGAACTGAGTGGCTCTGGTAGCCACACAAAAATCCCCTAGACACAAACAAACTCATAAACTCTGGACACACTCTCAGCAAATGACAAATACACAGGAAATGTATCACTTGTTTAGTTATTGATTCAATAATTTTCATTTTGAAAGTTGTTCTTTGAGTATTTGGGTATTGCTTGAACATTTTTGACGCAGTTGTCAGTATAATACCCGAGATTATGTCCAGATCCCAAATGTATCCTTTTTGGTGATATCTTACTTTGAGGAATATGAACACTTGTCAGCTGGTCGGTTCAATCATGGTCTCCAGAGGATGAATGACTTTTTTTAATCCAAGCATCATCATCAAGTAAAGACTTTGTCCAACACTTTGGTTTACCAAATATCTGCAAATTTATGACAATGCTACAAGCCTAAGGTCGTGAACATGGTCAACATTAGTTACCTGCCAAACATCAGCATGTAGGCCTAAGATGTTAGCAATTAGTTGTGCAGCCCGCAGCCTCACTGAGCTGCTAGCAAGGCTGTAGACTCTGTCTTGTTGTCTTCTACAGTAAACCCATTTTTGTTCATTAACAAAACATGCCACACCTCTCAAACAAGAACTTTGGCAAAATATATATATATATATATACATAAATGTATAAAATTAGCAAAGACATGACATGCAACATTATGTATTAAATTTATCTTAAAATAATAATAGCAATCGAGGAAGAGAAAAAGCGAGAGTGACCGAGCATGAAACCAGGTGGCAAGCTAGCCAACAAAGCTAGACCGCAACAGACAGAAGAGCACTTACAGTAATGTTACCTATGTCCAAGTGTTTTATCTATTAAGTTTGCTAACATCAACACCAGATTTATAGCTAGCGGCCAGCGAACAAGCAACATTATGTAACTTTTCTCACAAAGAGCTGGTGGAGAGCGGCGCCGATGTCATGTTGGATCATAACCCTGGCAACATAACCCGGCTCAGCAACATCTATTGACGTAACGTTAGCTAATAGCAGAATCAAAGACACAGAAGAGGACATTGACAGAGGAAGCTAGGAAGAGGAGAAATGGAGTGACCAAGCAAGAGGCTGGCGAGAGCTTCATGACAGCGGTGAATTACTGTAACGGTATGGGAGCCAAATCACAGCATGTTGCTTTAAATCGGGACACCTGACCAAAAACTGTATTAAACAAGACCTGACAAAGCATTCAATACTAACTTCTGGCACTTGCCTGTTTTTGATACTTCATTCTATAGGCACAGTTCAGTCAGCACTCAAAGAGAATTGAGGTTCAGGATCCCAGCCCTACGTTTTAGACTATAAATACAAGCATTTGTGACAGCTAACCATGATTTATTTACATTTCATTTTGAAATCATGGAGTAAAACAACACCTTCCTCTTGGGTTACAATGGGTCAAATGTGCCCTCCTTGTTTTCCGTCTGTAAGAATATATTTAGATTATCAAGTAAACTCCCGATTTAATCTTTATCCAATACCTCATAGATGCCTCTGAACTGAAGCAGACATCCAGGAAACTTAATCTTACAATCTCAAAAGAAAAAAAGACATGCATTCTCAGATGGACGTCAACAAACAATGTGTTATTTGTAACAACTGGCTAACAAGCTCACCAAGTCACTCACATCATGATATCTTTTCTCTATTTCCCTATTCTATTCTTGCCTGCGAATTCAAAGAACAATTTGATCAAGTGCAGCGGAGTGAAAAAATAAATTCAAAGCACTTCTCTCTTCTGTAAAAGGCAACTAATATACATACAATAAACATACAGTAGACTAGACACACACACCCATACTCCTCCCCTGCCTCACAACAGCATGCTGACTTTAAAAGCTTTTCAAGCAGCTACTTAAAATAAACAGAGTCAACATATGCAGCAAAAATATGACCTGAGAAAACTCACCACCTCCCAAGTGTCTGTGCGTTGGATAAGGTGGGAAACCAGTGAGACTGTTAAACAGCAGGAGAACATATGAGTTTCTAACTGCACACACACACAGACACGCACAAAGTCACTGTGAGACAAGCACATGCAGATAAGCATGATAATTTGTGAATAGCAAAGACTGCACAATGACGCATAATTTGATTCAAATAAAGATATTTAAGTGCTTTCTCGTGACATGTGGCAGATTAAACCAGCTCCAACTTGAGTGATCAAGGACTAAGCTTTAACTCTGGCAGAGAAACTGTCTCTCTCTTTTTTAGAAAACAATGCTGACTCCAACAAGCCAACAGACATGTTTTTCATGCTCGCTGTACATGCAGACGTGCTGAGAGACGTCAGAGCCATGCATAAAATCAAACAGACACCCACAGAGACAGCGGTGGCTTCACAGATTGTAAGATAGTTCTCTAGTGGTCCGTTTTTTCTCCTCTACTCAGTGTCTGTAGTTGTATTAGACAGCGGGGTGATGGAGGAGAACATCCACCCCCACACATCAACCCCCCTGATCCCCAGGGCTCTGAGGCCACAGCGACAGCCCAGCGGCTAGCGTGACTGACCAAACAGTGCATCAAACACACACACACACACACACACACGCTCATGACATCAGCTCCCTGGCCTCCGAAGACCAGACAGCGACACACACACACACACACACACGCTGACACTTACGCACAGGCTCAAACACTTTGACATTTCCTTGTCAAAAGAACCAGTGTGCACTCTCCCTCCCACCACCATCATCACAATCAACGCTCCTTTGTAGAGGGATAGAGAGGAGGACAAGGGCACTGGAGGAGGAGGAGGCGAGGACTAGTGAGACAGAGACGGAGGTTGAGAGAGGGATAGCTAAATTCTCAAAGCTACTGGAAAATACGAGGGCAAGAAAGGGGGGAAAGGGAAGCTGAAGAGAGGGAGAGAGAGAGAATCATGGGGGTAAAAAAAGCAGTGAAGCGAGAAAGAAGCTAGGATAAAGACACGACAGATAGATAAATAAGTAGAGGAGACAGGGAGATGACAGCGAGACAGTCTGTCCACGCACACACACACACACACACAACTCTCATCAGTTCCACTCTTCCAACTCTGAATGGCCCCTGGCAATGCCAGAGCCTCCAGAGCTGCAGCACAACTCATCACAAAATTCACTATCTCGTCTGATCTGCTTTAATCACCAAGCAACCAACCGACTCACACATGCACACACACAGACAGCAGCACACAAACAAACACAGCTCAACACCACACATGTTCTCCCTCCCTCCACAGAGCCAGAGAGCCAGTCCTGACAGGGCCACATTAATCACAGTGTACTGTCTCTCGCTCCCAGTAACACTTAAGCCAAGTCACTCCTCACTGGGCGCTCCCAGCCTGTCACTCCCTCCCCAAACTACCAAAGAACCAGGGGACCGCTCCAAACAATTATGTGTCTCCCCAGTCTGAAGCTTAATGAAAAGCAAATCAATTCTGCACAATCCAACAACAGCCTTCCAACCCCAAAAACGCACTCTGTTGCAGCCAAGGCTCATTCAGCCGGGTGACATTTCGAAATTGAGAACGAGCATGATGAAAACCAGCAAACGAGTCTCCGTGGTTTTATTGATTCAAATGCTAAATGTACCAAAGGGACAAGCTCAAATCATTTTGTTATGCCATCAATCTGATCTTTTACAGCTTGAAAATGAGCGTTAACTTAAACCAATCACTTGTATAAACACACTGCCGATGGATCACTGCTTAAACACAGACAGTAGAGACAGCAGACAATTCCACATTTTCTCACCAGATTACGTCACAAAGCATTTGTCATGTGTCGGACACCAAAGCATATGATAATTTGATTCAATTATATGTATTACGGCATCAGAGGAGAGGGCCGAGAGGGAGAGAGAACAAATCTGTTATAGATGGAGGAGCTATAGACAGAGAGGCACAAACAAAGTGGGTGTGTGTGTGTGTGTGTGTGTGTGTGTTTCTTACCGGTTCTCCAGAGTACACCAGCCACAGTGGGCGTCGCCTGCTCCCAGACAGTCACTGCAGCTCCTCCACTGGTCACAGTCTGCCACTTTCACCCTGAGCATCTGCACACCACAGCACAGACAGAAAACACACACATACACTGAATTTTACTTTTTACACACGTTTATCCTATGAAAACAGCTGCTTTTCAAAGTTCACGCAGAACTGGAACATTCCCTGGTAAGCAGATATGACATTTATGTACCATCCACAAGTGTTCATCAGTGTTTGTCAACAATTATAACTTCATCTATGAAGATTTTGTCTTTTACAATCTCTATTGTCCCCAGAGGGGCAATTATAGCGGATGACACATACATTAATAAACACTCACTTGCTTACAACTACATTGTAGTGTGTTATAAACCACTTAATCTTTATATACTGCTTATAACTGCTAAATGTGGTTGTGCGCGCTGATTCACTGGATGCGAAACGAGGTCTGATTGTTGCTATTACGATTCTTCTTCATGCCGACATGAATAAATCAGTGACAGAGGTTCGGAGAGAATCGACAAACGTCTTGAGACCAGAGCCTCGCAGGCAGCCGCATTCTTACATGGCGAGAGGTCATGAGATAAAGGAAGTTGCTATCGTTGGGGTCGAAGGTCATGATGTGGTGGACCGCTTCGCTGGCTGGCAGCTTCAGTGTCCACTGATTGGCCAGGGTCATGTTCGCCAAGAGGGTCAGCTGTGAAAAAGAGCACAGAGGACACAGGTTGGATCGCAGTTTGGGACAAGTGCAGAATAATCCAATTACTTATTTTCTCAAGTAACTCCTCAAAGAGTGAGAATTGTGACCACAGCCTTTTTCTGTTGATCAAGCAGCTCAGTTGGTGCAAATTCAGGGTAAATTAATGGTTTTGCTCAGCAACACTTTTACAAGAAGCATTTTACTGCTTCATAGCACTTACGTGTTTTAACAAGATAAATAAATGTATTTATATGAAGCTTTAGCTCCTCTGAACCTGCCTGAGATCCACAAGGCAGCACCAAAAACTTGTTGTTCATGAAATTAATGTATGCAACAAAAAATAGCCGCCAGATTTAGTTAAATGTATCTTTATCTATATTTTTATAAAGACGCTCAAATATATTTTAGGAGGTCCTTTGTTCAAGCTGTGTGCCTAATCTTGTTTTGTAGAGAAGTGATCTATCTACACACTGGCCTTCCTACAGCTCAAGATAATGAAATGGGCGACATGTTCTCACGTACGCACAAACATACGCACACAGAGACACACACACACTCACACACAAACACACAGAGCTGCGTAGAAAAACAAAGTGAGACTTCCTGTCACGCAGACAGTGAAAGCTCTTATTTCTGCGATTTGTCGGGTCTCCCTTCAATGGAGACATCCTGCCATACAGAGGAACTGGCAAACTGACCGGCATCTGGTGACAAGCACGAGCTGTGTCACTTCTTCATCCGCTGAACACACAAACACCCTCTCACATGCACACACACAAAACCCATCACCACCCACTGAGATATGTTGGTTAATGTTAAACCAGAGCAGACAGAAGCTTAGTAAACCATTGGATTAACCTGCGACGAGAGGCATTATCTCAACCTCCACTGTCATTTTTATAACACCACCTACCCATCTATGCACACACACATACACACAACCTCTTCTTCCTTCGATATAGTAAGCAGCTGTGCCATGTCTTCACCCCACACCGCTGCGACTTCAAACACATCCGCAGAGTGACAAAGTGAGGAGTGAGTAAACAGCAGCCCACACACCTGGACATGGAACAGAATAGGAGCAGATAGAGGAGCAGTGAGGAGAGCTGTGGCACAGTGCACCACCAGGTCAACCAACAAAACACCTGCTGTACTGGCAGGTCGCTCTGACTCTATTCTCTGTCTATCTGCCTGCAGATGAAAGACCCTATTCAACCAAGGAGTGCTCAGCTGCCGTGTGTGCTCATTCTCTATGTGTGTGTGTGTGTGTGTGTGTGTGCTTGTGTGGACGTGTACCTGGGTGTAAAGGAGAAAGAATAAAGACAGATGGAGGTGGGGCAGGAGAGCGAGAACCAGAGATAAAGTCTGTTTGTTTGCAAAATGAATCAAAGAGTCTTTTATATTTCAGATGAGGTAAGAGAGGAACAGAGAGAGGGGACAATGAAGCGATGAACTGAGAAGTGGAGGGGTGGACTGACTGAGGGAGTAAAATTGGACGAGAGTGGGTGAGATAAAGGCGGACACTGGGAGAGGCAGAAAATGGAAGTCAGCTGTAATGGGCAGAGGTAGACTTCATTAAAAAATGCATGTAATTACAAATTACTTCACTGAGGGCTCTCTCAAAGACAGTAAAAGAGGCCTAACTTAATCTCAACCACTGTTCCCCTGTGTTTAGTCTGAGCCAAACTCACAGTCAGAATCACATTACACACACTAACAGCACCATTAACCTCTGTAACAGTTCTGTCCTCAGGGCACACACACAGAAAGACACACGCAGACAGACGCTGCCACACACAGATACATACACAAACAATAAAAGACATATAAAGCTAAAAAGCACGGAGCCTGTTGTTACCCAAGGTCACAGAAATACTATGCTCCCTATATAACAAGGTTGGCTCACATGGTGAAAGAACACACACATATATAACACATAATCACAGGATATGCATGCATCTGGGTAAACACATGATATCACTAAACCACGTGCACTGGCCTACAGACAAAGTCATACACCTACAAACACAATCAAACCTTCAATCAAGTGAGGAAACAGACATACACAAACACACTCTGCACAGTTGCTTACACCATTCCAACCAATGTTGTGCATCCGGTAAACCATCCAAAAACTAATTACTGCACAGCTCAGCTGGGGATAAAACAGTGCCTACATCTGGGGAGAAAAACAAGGTGCTCTCTTAGCAGGCCCTAAATGAAAAACCCTCCAGCAGAATGGTTTTAATGTTGTAAAAGGTACCAGCTTAATGCAAAACAATAGGGTCAAAAAGCTTTCAGAGTTTATGTTGTTTACGCAGACAGCTGAGAAGCAGCTAGCGGCTCAGTCAGGGGTGACTAGGAATGTGCCTGAATCAGAATTAAGGAATGCTGTTAATTAGACAGGAAAAAGTTTTCACGAGGTGGACCCTCTGCAGATGTTCCAAAGCTGAGGTCAAACTGAGTCAGACGTCGTCAGCCGATCTTGTTAAACGGCTTTCTGGTGATCTCTCAGACAATAACCAGGTCTGAGGAACATTAGAGCACGTGATTAGGACTACTCAATGGGCCATGATGGGTCATGGACGAGCACAGTCAGGGTGTTGAGGGGGTGCTGAGAAACTTAGTGATGAAAGCACACATTCCTGTTCGTCTTGCCGCTGCTCGGAGTGTTTCATCAAACACCTTCATATGGTTAACTGACTCAGCAGCCACATCAGAGCAGCCCTATGTAACTGTTACTGCTATACTGTTTCCAAGCTTAAGGGCTTGATCACATTAAAAATATTAACTCCATTCAGTGGTGACCATATGCTACAATTGTGGGCCAGTGGTTATGTTAGTTAAAAAAGTTTCTTGTGTGTTTATGTGTGTGTGTGTGTGTGTGTGTCTCTCACCTTACGAAGTCGCCCATTACTGGTTCCCAGAAAAACCACAGTGTGATTGTGCACGTCATCCACAGAGACTGAACTGAGAGCTGTATATTCAACCAGAGGAATGGCCCTCAGGGGCCTCCGTAGAGCAAGAGGATGCTGTAGGTGGGCCGCACCGCAGTCCAGCTGCTCGGGCTGCAACTAGAATGCAGATACAATGAGAGAGATCAATGCTGATCAGCTCTCGCATGGAATGTTATGTTCAGATTAGAAAGGCATAGCATAAAAGGAGCGACGTATGATGAAAGTGAAGTGGAAAAACAAGAGCTGATAGTAGCTATCACAACGGTGCAGCTCATTCTTCTTAATCACTTTTTAGACATCTCAGTGAATACTTGAAAAAGGGCTTACAAGGGTCTTCAACACTCATAAGACTCTGCTTTTGTCAAATTCTCTGCGGGCAATGATAAAACATTAGTGCCATGCTTGGATGAGCACCAGGATCTATTGGGAATTCTCTGAATACTTTGGAGCACGCAGAACCGAGAAGAAAAAAAGAAAGAAAGAAAGAATTAAGCACAGTGGATATTTGTGGAGTCGTTTCCCACGGGCCCTTCTGCTCGCGGCCTCGTCTCTCTTATCATAAATTGTGTCTGGCTTTCCCTCACTGCCGGCCTTCAAACTGTCGAGTACAAAAAGGATCACATTTCAACGGCCACGGCAACACAAATGTAAAACTTAAGGACTAACTTTATTCTGTGTGAGGTTGTGTTACAGCAAGAGGACGCTAAACCAACTGAGATAGCACTCAGAAAAACGGCGATGGGAGGAGTGGCCACGGGGGCCACAGCCGACAAGACAGTGCCAGTGAGGAGGGCAACTTCCTGACCTGACAGTATTGTGGTTGCCAGACAGCCTTCTTTGACCTCAGCTCTCAGTCAAACCCGCTACACAGAGATGCCTATGAAACAAAGCTTTCTCTGCCTTTATTATCAGACACTGAGGGAAAGGACTGGGGGCAAATATGTGCAATGCTTGTGTTTCCTTAGGGGCAAATATTTAGTTGGGTATGCTTGTATGGAGTGAAAAGCGTGTAGTTCAGAACAACAACATGACAAAGTCGCTCTTTATTCAATATTCATTCACTACAAATGTGCCAAATGTGTGGTTGAGTTATAGTTGGAAACACACACTAAAAGAAAGAAACAAAGTAAACTATTAACCCCTTCCTCTCTTCACATTAAATAAGACAGGGAGCTGCTGGATGTGAGAAGAATTTCACCCTTCCCATAACCCCCAGCGTGGCCCTGGAGCATTTTTCCAGCTATCATGACCTCCACTCGTGACATGTGAGATCCTCTCTCCAGGTCACGAGTCTCGGGGCTAAAGATGATAACTGCTGTAAGCAAAAATGTAAACTCTCATTAGAGAGATACAGCAATCCTGGGTGACTGTATTATTTTGTAGGGCCAGAACAACTGTAAGGGCCTACAGCTTTCATTTTTTGGCCAAGTGTGTTATATGCATAAAACCCTGTTTTGTAATGGTGGAGGTAATAAAAAGGGTTATTATTTAACATAAAGCTCCAATTTTCATCATCTCCAGGCTTTGTCCAATGGGGAAATATCCGTTTACAATCCAATGTTTGCAAAGTAAGAAATCAAAACATAAGTGATGTAATAAAATAATAAAGCATTTCATCTTTTTCCAGTAAGACGAATGAGTTTAATAATTTGCCTGTTGTTCCCATTCTATGAATGTTGCTTATTCTGCCTCATCAAAACACTACATTAGACGAAGATCAACAGATTAAATGCACATTACTACAAAAACCGCACATGTCATGAAATGCAATCAAACTAAACTCATTTCAATTGTAACCTTATATGTTTTATGTTGGCTAATAAAAGAGATCCCTAAGCCCTTACCACTAGGTTTCCCTTCTGAATGCAGGCTGCCCCAGAGCCCTGGATAACGCTGTCCAGCACCTGAACGTCGCTGCTGGGAGAGTTGGAGCAGTTCCTGCGGCCTTGTCGAATCTCCTCCTCGATGTCTCCAAACTTGAAGGCGCACAGAGCGGACTTTCTGTCCCCCTTGGAGAACACTCCAAACAGGTACGGCTCTAGGCTCGTCCCGTCGCCTGTGTGGATCTCCGCGGGGTACACGGACAGCAGCCGGTTGTAAATGTTCCCGTTAAATCCACACTGTAGAGGCATCTGGATGTAGGACTCAGTGAGCTTCCTGCTCTCTGGCCCGGAGGGTTTTCGGTTTTTCTCGGTATCCAGACATATCCTGGCGAGGATGCTGTTGGGCTGGCTCTCCTTGTGGCCCATTTTCGCATCGTTATTGAAGGCGATGTAGGAATAAGCCTTCTGGATGAAAGCGTGGACGAAGTTCAGCTTGTTTTTGGTTTTAACCTCTTGTTTGATCTTGAATACGTTATCCTCTGAAGGGTTAATGTCATAGGTGAAAAGTCGGGATAAATCATTGATGTTCAAGGCGCGGATGGCGATCTCCGGGGTGTTTTCAAAGCGCAGGTCCTCCTTGCTGTGGTTCTTTGGGAAAAACTGGGTACCAGCCCCTGTGTAAGTGGCCCCGACAAGAAGTCGGGTGCTTCCCCCGTGGCTCTTGAAGATGAGCCCGACAGTGGAGGCGTTTGGGTGATTGGCAGCTATGTTAAGCATGCTGGGGAAAACCGTCTTCTCGCCCTGCGGTGGGAACTCCACCGCTATCTCCGAAATATTCTCCATTTTTCGGAGCTCACAGAAGCCTTGATACACTGATCCACACACCACCACGACCCCTTGCTCTCGGTCCAGCTTCAGGAGCTTGTTGTAGTTGTCAGTGAGGGATTTGGGATGCTCGCACGGAGCCTGGGGCAGCTGTGGCGCATGGCACAACAGGTTGTCCTCCACCGGCCCGGTCCTCTTCTCCACCTCGACGCTCAAGGTCCCGTTCAGCTGGTAGACTGTGTTGACGGTGGCCAGATAGACCTTTCTGGACACCGGGTCCACCACGAAGTTATTAGTCTGATTTGTGGACTCGAATGCCTGTTGGATGTGCAGCGCGCTGGCACTCCGGCGCGTCTCCAAAGCCAAGACGCCGAGGAGCAGAACAGCTATCTCTATCGAAGGAGGCATTTTTCCTTCTGACCGGCTTCCGCGTGTTCTGTGCCGAGGGGTGCATTGAGCAAAGACAAAATTGTGTGTTTGTTCCTACTGCGACAATCCGAGAGGAAAGGCTGTTTCCTGCTAAACGCCTATACCCAGAATGACGCGATAAGCGAGTCGTGCTTCCTTTTCAGGCTGCCTCCTCTGTCCCTCTCTTCCCACTGTGCAGCTCAGCAGCCCCTCTCACGAGGCACACTGAGCCACAATTTGAGATTTCTATGGTCTTTAAACAATACCCTAACAGAGACAAATAGTTCAAGTTGATTTGTTGATGCGCAATTTCTGGACAATGCCATGTCCGCAGAGAGGTGATGAAACTGGAGTCATGTGTAAGTCCGACATCCAAGAATCAGGATTCATAAAGTGCAATTTTAAATCAAATGTGGAGTTTACTGGAAACAGGGGCGTCAACTCATTAACCCTGAAGAGTGGCACTGCTCTCACGTCAACCCCAATCAAAGCGCACTGTCAGGCCACTCTGCTGTGATTGATCATTGTACAATCTACAATTCTACAGTCTACAATTATTAAATGTTTCTCTCTAAAAATTATTAGAGCTATATTTCCTGAATAATCATTGTTTCGTTTTGTCCAGCCACATTTGAAACGGTTCGTTCTGATCCAACCACAAGATCAAACTGGTTCTGATATTAACTTACTTTTAAACATCAACTTATTTAAGCTTTAATGTGAGTTCATCCTGCCATATGAAGTTAATGACACTGTTCCTTTCAAGATGGGCCACTTGATGAATCTCCGCCCCTGCGTGGTTCCGCTCATCTCAAGGTTAATGACGGGTCACCGTCCCACCTCCTGTGCTCCCCAATCCCCCGGCTCTCAGATTAGTTCTGCAGATCCGGAGGGATCCGTTTTGGGCACATACGGCACGGTAAGCACCGTGAAAGTGCTACCAGATGGGCACATCAGCACACCTTTCCGGCGTTTGACATTCACATCTATCCAACACAGCTTTCTTGTGCGCTTTACCTCATAAATATTCAAGCACAACACATGCGCCCCCACTCAAAAATGCACGAATATGGTTAGCATTTTTGTCTCTGGATGGTGTGTGCATATGTTCACATCTCTGAATAGAAATGAATGATCCCTAGTAGGGAGGCGACCACGAATGTGTCAGACACTGTATAAATCAGTTTGCAGGCGAGCCCGAGAAGTGTTATCTCTGAATACATGCAATAATTAAAGTTGATGCTAAATCGTGCGCAATCGCTTGTGCCTATTTACTGTGGACTCCTCTGGGGGACAAACTCACTCTCGCCTCTCGTGGCTCCCTCCGCCACCACTTGCAGCTTTCAGTAGGGCAGATAAGTGGGCCCCGTGTTTACTTTGGCGCACAGCCATATGCATCAAATCTGGCAGTGTAGAAAAGGAGGAAAGCGCTCAAATATAGTGCAATGACCTCCCCAACTGCACAGAACAATGGCTGAGCCACCAACACTGTGCACGTGCGTGTGAGCGCGAGCCTCAGCAGGCAGTAAGGACGCGTACATGAGGTCCCGTAGGGGGTGTGGGTCAGAGCTGTCAGCATCAGATATCACCGGCGAGGTGTGACTGAGTGCTGCGGTTTGGTGCTGCTCAATCAAACACAACGTTCAACTGAATTAAGCTGTGCGTATGTGTGTAGGCTATGTGTGTGTGTGTGTGTGTGTGTGTGTGTGTGTGTGTGTGTGTGTGAGTGAGTGAGTGAGTGAGTGAGAGAATGATAGAATAAAGTGGGGGAGACGTGGTCTCTCCTGTGTGTATAATGAAAATATTATCCCTGGTGGCCCACTCTTTGGCAGTAAGACTGGGGTTAAAGGGCCTTCCACCCAACCTGTTTCCTTCCTGATAAGGAGTGACACCGCCTTGTGTTCAGACCTCCACCTTGCTCACAACAGACCATTCACACTTAACTAAACAGCCATGAGGGTAAAATAAATAAATAAAAAAGAACATCTAAGGACATACAAGGCAAAAGATCTCCATCTAGTGGTTAAATGACAAATCTGCAAGGTGACTTTTTAAAAGGGGATTCGGACCAGAACATGTGTGAAGAGTCAGTCCATCCTGCAGTAATACACATCCCCAAAGTAGACTGTTACAACTCACACAGACATTCAATTTAAAAGTCACTTTTAAGAAATGGCGATGGCTCATCAGTATGTCAGGAATGCACTTTATTTATTCCACACTTAGAAAAGGACATCAGAAGGCACTGGAGTTTTTTAGCACACACAGCCATACAGCATAGGTGTCACTGCAAGGTCAAGCTAAGGTCAAAGGCAAGCTCACTCCCAACTTGTCAGCACCGCCTGCCATTGCAAAACTGAAACCGGTCAAGAAATCTACATACTGCAATTCTTACTTCCTGCCATTTTAATCGCATTGTCAAATTGAGAGGAATCAAGTTCAGCTATGTTTTACCAACAAATGAAGTGAATTCCTCTCTGTGTTTTATCTTAAGACATGGAGGACAATGATCCTGACCTGAGTCAACTCTACTGTCCTAAGAGTGACAACTTTTTGAAGGCTCTATCAAGACTTTCTCAAGTCTCAGCCTGACCTATGTGTTATCAAGCAGTGTGCTAAAGTGCATCTGTACGGTTCAAACGATCTTGCTTATGTTAGGAAATCAGCTTCTTGGCTTGAAATGCAGGGTGAACTATTTAATGTGCGAGGTCGTCTGTTTGTGTCCTATATGAGAAGGAGAGAGAGAGAGAGAGAGTATAAGAAATGCGGAGCCAAAAAACTGTACTCATGGAAGCAAGGTGAAGAAACACAACTGAAGGTCCGGAGTCAAGTTCATGTTCAGATTGTGAATTCTCTTAAAGTTTTTCCCTTGCAAAAGTCTCCCAGAAAGATACATCCTTGACATCCAGGCAAGGCATTCATGACATTTCTGAAAAGAAGCCAAGACCTGCTGCGAAACCTCCCCTTTTTTTCTCCTTCTCAACTTGAACCCTTTGGGTGCACAGGCATCCCTGGGTAGACTAAGATTTGGCACTAGGTGATTACACCATAAGACAGTGTACTTTTAGAAAAAGAAGAACAGGTACAGAGATAATATGAAGGGAGAATGTCTGATGAATAGTTACTCTATCACATACAGGCAGTGTGCATTTTGACTGGCATGGCAGTGGAGACGACTTGCACTGTAGATATGAAGCAGCAGTATTCCTGTTACAGCTGAGAAGTAGCTGGACAAGCACCAGTGGTCTCTTTTTTCCAAACCTGATCACATCAAATATGGCAGGGTGGGGGGCTGGGGAGGCAATTATCCTGGCAAATTGATTTTACTTTGACAATAGTCTTGTGTCATTGCTTTTAAAAGCAAAATTGGTTCCTATGTAATATTTCCTAATGAGAACATGCAGCATTGCTTACATGTTATGCAAATATGCCAGACGCTTAACAATAACCAGATGTTCTCTGTGTGTTTATGTGCTGCTTCTATGGTGACCAGCCCGTTGTAGCTTTTCCCTCTAAAGCCGGCCCACTATGTCTTTAGGTTTCACTGTCAATCTCCCCTATTTAACACAGTTCTTGTTTTACTTAAAAAAAAAAAAAAAAGAAGGAATAAGTAAAAGCATGTGATCTTTTCTATTAGAAATTGTAAGGAAGCACAAACAGTCTAGTCATCACGACACTCAAAAGGTCATGGTCAGTCCTTCAAAATGTTCCGTCTGAACAAATTTCATCACAGCAAGACAGGAGCAACTCCCAGGAAGGTTTTCATCCATGGTTCAGATCTACCAATCACAGCTAGGTAAGAGTTCTCTTCCTAAAGGCAATCCACCACATTATCACATTTGCACGTCCCTGCAATTAGACTGGGCCTTTCACGCCAATAGCCAATCCACTTTCCTGACTAAACTCCCCATCATGTAGAGTGACAGGAGCATAATGCTACATGGTACTGAATAAAATAACATTGAAAATAAAAATAATATTATTAGAAATAATACATTAGAATTGATTAAACTCTAAAAGATACAAACAGTACAATGTTGCATTCTGTGAAAGCAGCAGTTCATTTTCAAAAAATGTAAACAGTCTCGTCCTTCCTAAATCACAATCATGAGTGTTCTCAACTTTTATTCTGCTTCTTCCTCTTTTTCCTTCCATGCCGTGTCCGAAGGGGCCCAGCCGAACTTTCAGCGCCCGGTCACACAGCCACCCTAACGGCAGTCATGCTCTTTTAAACGTCCCGCCCGACTGCAGCTACAGTTACATCGCGTGGTGTCAACAAAACAAGATGGGCTGGTTTCAATCTGGTCATCCCGGGGGCTGCAGAACGCGGTGTGTGTACCCCGAGAGGGCATCCCAGTTCCGCCACAAGAAAGCCAGCAGGAGGATGAAGAGGAGCGTGGAGAGCGAGCGCGAGCGTGTCTTCATCAGAGGTACCACACAATTGGCGACAGTTGAGACAAAGACCAGAAGGACAGCCATAAGGGCCAGCAGCACGTTGATAAGTTTTCCCAGGAGGGTGCGGGCTGTGGCATTTTCCAGCCCCTCCAACTGGACAACCTGCTGTTGTTGCTGCTGGAGCTCCATCTTAGAGATCCTGGTCTGACACACCTCCAACGCCTCCTGCACAGGACACGCAGAGGGGGAAAGAAAGCACAAACGTGAAAACACTTAACAACTAAAATACTATACACTCTGTGGCCACTTTACATAAGGAAACCCCTTTTCATGTTTTTAAATGAGCTGGGCAAAACATTAGAAGCACCACCAGCATATTACAGGACAGTTCAACACCACTGCAAACCATAACATCTGACAGCATCTATCAAACCGGGACATTACTATCTTTGTTAAAGTAGAATTTTTAGCTGTTGCATTACATTTTACAGGACACTGACTGTTTATTTCATAGACCTTTAATGCCCTCTGCTGCCGGGGAAAAGAAATGCAGTCAAGGGGCAACTTGAACAGTGAATACACTTCAAGCAAGCACACACACACATGAAAACACACAAACCTAAGCCTCATAGACAAGAAGAAAGGACAGGAGTAATGTGGTCATCTAGAGGTCATGCTTATCTTTAGAAAAATCAGAAAAGCCGATGGACAGACTGGATTCTCTATCTCACCTTCCTGCTTAAGGCGTCCACATGCACAATGAGATAACGCCTTTAACTGTTGGAGGGTGTGTGTCCACCTCAAACTTTCAGTTCATTTAAGACTGACAAAATGACCTCTAGTCTGAGCAGCCCACATAAGCTTACTAATAAATACATCAGTAGGTTAAAGCGGCTGAGCTCTCTTTAGTTCTTTTTCCTTGCAAGACATCCAAATAGCTAAGACACTATGATATAATGATAAGAATATTTACAGAAAACCAGATATATAAACCAGCGACGTGTGACATTATTTATATGACAAACTTAAATATTTATCATTGGAATTATCATTTTGTCACTCTTGTTTTGACATTAGTTAATATAGTTAATAGTTAATAGAATTGTCTCGGCATTGTTGTTGTTCTACCTAACAGGAGCCACCGGGTTAAATTCAGTAGCAGTTGCTGAGCACCCTAAGAAGTTGGGAGCAGGTTGGCTGACCAGCCAGGGAGAAGGGATTAGTAACGTCAATAAGTGACATTAAGGAAGTAGACTTCTGACAAGGGCATTTTAAAATCAATACACTACAAATGGACAAACACAAAATAACATTAAACATTCAATAACAATTCGTGGCATTCAGTTTTAATAAAATAATACAATTATTAACCCTTTTTCTTTTCTTGTAATATATGCCAGTAAAAAATCACAAGTTAAAAAGTGACCACTGAATTCTGCATTAAGTGGCTTATTGCTTTAGTGAAATGTCAGAAGACAATAATACTTTCAACTCAAGTATCTACATGAGTAAATAAATGCTAAATTTGGGCAAGTGCATTGCTGCAGCCATAGAAAATGTTACTTGTGTGTCTTTATCAGGTATTTTGCAATGGCTTTCAATGACTCGTCCTGTCAGATGTAAGAACCAGAACTGGCCATTTAATTGAACAATTTGCTTTGTCCTCTAATATTTCTCATCATCCCTTTCTGACATGTCATTTGTACAGCAGACTGCCATTTTTTAAAGCTGCCAATTTTATAGAGAATGAGAAAATGTAATTCCGATTGAGCTGATTTTTTTACAGCCATTTATTTCTGACATGGGCGGTGTGCTCTTGGACGTCAGTCTGACAGACGGACCTGTATGTCTCTGGCTCTCTCATACGACTGGTAGGCGATCTTTTCCTCCATGCTGGCCAGCTCTTGCTTGAGGTTGAGGATCTCATTCTGGTGAAGTTCTGTCAGGTCGTTCAGCTGTTCCTCCAGACGTTCACACCTGAACAAAGAACACACACGTGTGAGAATTCTGGGGCATAATTAGCTTAGACAAAGAACCACATGCATGAATTAGCAGAAACAGACCGTGAAGGCATCTGACCACATGGAACCTAATTTCAACTGATGACTTGCTCTGACAAGATTAGGACATGCTTACTCATCTGCTGATCCTACTGGCCAATCAGAGTCATTGGAATGAGACTGGCCAATGGGAGGTAACCAGCAGGAGGAGAGGGATCTATACTGCTGTTTATTTTGGCAAGCACATACAATTGGATGGACAGCATAGGTCAAGAACGGACAAGAGACAGCACCTGTGGAAGTTTTTTCTTTGGAAATGAATTTTGTTAGTTAGAGCCTGAGGTGATGTCTTCAAAGCGCAAAGATATTAAGAAAGAAGTAAGAAAACCAGCAAGTGTTCACATCTGAGGAGCAGAAACCAGTGAATTGATGTTGATTGGTTAATTGTTTCAGCTCTACATTCATCAACAATTAAAAATAATCCTTATTTGGAGGCCTTGTTAAGAAATTCCCATTTTAGGCGTTTCTCTGAGGGGCTATTTAGCAACATCATTAGTATATGAATGATTATTCCCAGCGGGCAGGCTGAAAAGAGCTCCTTAGTGGTCATTCGTACAGGCCGTTCTGGACTCACATGGACATTTTAGGGAGAAAAATGCTAATGTTTCTTTCACCATGTAAGCTTCTTACTATTTCTCCCCTCCTTGCCATTATCCTGCCCTCTTAATCATTGTGCCCTCTTGTCAGAACAGTCTGGAGGAATGCGGGTGTGTTTTTTAAGGCCAGCTGCCCACAGACAGAGCAAAACAAAAGAGATGCACGGAGACATCTGACACAAGATATGCGGAGCTGGGATAGGGGCTGAAATAACGGCAAAGATCTATGCACTTAAGAGGATACGTGAAGTGTGGAGATGTGTCACTTATGTGAAGTGCTCAATGTAAATGTCAACTGCTGTCTTAAAACAATAACACTTACATTGTCCTATATGCAGTGCTGAGGCTATTAACATTCCAATATACAGTTCAGTCTAAATGCTAAAGCAACTTGTCTGGGCAACAGTTATTGTAATAGTACTACTCTTAAAATCTCCATAATGCATGTGGCAGTGGTGCTTATGCTTTGTGAGCGAGTACATGAGTGGCACCATTATGCAGGCTTTACGTGTTTATGGAGAGGAGGTCCAGGTCAAGGTTTTGTTTTATCAACTGTGTTAGCTTTGATAAAAGAGGTCTCCAGAGCATAAACAGGGTGAATGTTGCCCGGGATGATATAGCAACACACAGAAATGAATAATCTGTATGTGTTTGAAGAGTATATTTCCAAACATAGTAGATCTTCCTGATTATGCGCTGTTGGGCTTTTAGGGAATTTCTTGTGCTAAATTGGAAAGGCTTCAGGCGTGTGTGATGCAAACATTCTTGTATGTTCTCTTTTCTCTCTGTACCTGAAGCGCTCCTCCTGCAGTGCTTGCATAACGACTGTGTAGTCTCTCTGATAGTGGCTCTTCAAGCCATCAAGGCTCTCTTCGAGCCTTGCCTGGCCCTCCCTCAGCTCCTGCACCTCCTGCAGAAGCATGTCCAGGCTGGAGCTCTGGCTCCTCTCCAGTGTGTTGCCCTTAGAACTGGGGGGACCTCCAGGGGCCCCCGTGGTGCTGTTGGCCCCTGCTGAGCCTGATGTAGCGCTAGAGCAGTCGTCCTCACTACCATACTTGGGACTGGGCTGGAGGTGATGCCCAGCATGGCCCAGTGAACGGCCACCAGCCCCTGTCACGCATTCTTCCACCGAGGGGTCGTCCAGAGAGTCTTTGAGTGAGGGGATGTTGTCAGCGCTGCCAAATTTGTTGCGAAAGAGCGAGGCAATCTCCCGGGGTTTGGAGACGACAGCCCCGGCAGCAGAGTGAGTGGCCTGGGAGAAGCTGGAGAGGCCTCCCTTCACGCTGTCCACCACACCTTCACTGAAGCCAGTGACCTTGGCACCGACGTCCTTAAGGCCCTGCTGCATGTCCCGCAGAACATCCTTGGGCTGGCGTGGGATACCATTGTGCTCCACTTCCCGCAGCTTCCGGTGGTAGTGTTCCAGTTTCCTTTGCAGCTGTTGGATGGTCTGCGCTGACTTCTGGTTCTTCTTCTCAAACACCTGACAGCCACAGAACAGGTTGTCTTTAGTGAGGGGAATAAACATTACACTGTAATAATCCACTCCACCTTAATACATAATGTAAGCTCCCTCCCTCCCCTAGGGACAAACAAACTGAACAAACAGGTTTGGTGTTAATGCACATCACCTTACCAGCATTACTAGTAGTTTTATATTTTACCTGTTTGATGCGTGTGCTTTGCTGTTTGTCAGCATTGTTAGCCAGTTTCAGGTACTCAGCAACGTTGTCATCCCTGGCTGTCTGCTCGATCTTAATCTGCTCTGTGAGCTTGAGGATTTTCTGCTGCAGCTGGGCGATTGCCTGCTTAGTGCGCTGAGGGTCTGGGGTGCCATCCTCACCTCCTGGGAATGAACCGTCTGCTCCACATGAAACAGCCAGGGGTGTTTGGCCCAGCCCGCTCACCTCCAGCCGGTCGATCTGAAGTGTGGTGTTGAGAAAAGAAGAGAGGGAGATTTGGGGAAGGTAAAGGGTCAGGGGAGAAATTAAGGAATAAAGAGGAAAATAGAAAAAGGAGGGGAAGAGAAGGAAAGAAAAAGTGTGACTTGCATATTAAGAGTTCTTAGTTATTTTGCTGACACGCACTAAAAACAGAGGCTTCTGCATTTTTGCAGCCAGTCGCCTGGAAAGAAGGCAAATTGAGTCAGTTGAAAAGACCACTCGCGGTCAGTTTCTCTGAAGAGGAAGACATTTTTTTTCATTACATTTACAAAGAAAAGAAAATGGAAGAAAAAACTTTCTTAACTGTCAGCACATCTACACAAAACCTAATACTTTCAGGTGTGTAGCCAGAGCTATCCGCAAGTCTCCTTTTCTCTGTATAAACAGGCAAGAACAGAATGAAAATTAGACTAATGTAATTTTTTGTTTGTTCAGGGAGCGATGATATAGGACAAGACAGGCAGGATATTAGGTTTTTGTATACAACAGTTTTGCAGATTAAGAATATTGGCCTCTGTTGCTTTTTCAGGTATGCCTGGTTTTTGTCAATAAGACACAAAGCATTTGTGTAAAAATAGACACTAAAAAAGACACTATCTAAATTGGGTTTTTCCTGTGTTTACCTAAAACTAGATAAACTCGACATGACAAGACGGTGAACTTACTAGCACCTTCAATCACAGGCAAGTCGATGTGATTCATTTCCTCGAACACCTCAGGGGAAGAACACTGCGCTACTGCTGGAGCTGTGTGCTTCGGGGGGTGGGGGATTGTGGACAAAATATTCTTCTCATCACCGAGCATGGACACAACATAAGCAGCTGAACCTGACAGCTCACCACGGGGGCTCAGAAGCCACCCAGAAAAACGAATAGCAGAGGAAAGAAGCGTGATTTATTGACCTGGTCATCCACCACTCACACATTACTCAGCCTCTAAATAGGCTTGCCATTACCGTCACTCCTAACAGGTAAAATCGAAAAACACCAGAGGCTCACCTGCATGACTAACTGTTGACAGACACCACAGTCAACAACACAAACCGCACCACATCCGGGTGTAAACCAAAACTCGAGATCAACTAGCTCTCTTTTATAAGACATCTTTTGTCACAAAAGCGACCTCAACAGAATCGTCTCACCTTTCCATTCGTTAAACGGAGAAATTGTTCCCAGTGCATTGTCCACAAAGTGAGGGCGAGCTGTTTATTTTCATCTGTCCTGACACTTTGGTAAAGCAAAACCCTAGCCTGTGAAAACCATGCGCCGACTCCTTGAAGTTTCTCCTCCTATCGCTGCGACTCGCCGGGCTTGTTGTGAAAGTTGAAGCGCACCTGAAACTCTGTCAACTGGGCGGTGCGGAGAAGCCCCGCCCCCTCCCTCCGTCCGTCCTGTCACCCCCGAGGGATGACATCATCCTCTAAGCAGCACAGCAGGCAGCCGTCAATCATCCTCGCTAAGCGCAGAAATAGCTACCTAGTCAGGGACTTTTCATGTATTTATTTTTTCTTTACTGTATTAGGTTCACTGACAGACCAACAACACTGACTAAAATAATACTACCACAACGCTTACTAACCGATGCAACTTTATTGGTATGTGGACAGACGGCAGTGTGACAAATGTACAGCAGCCTAAAACAGAGGTATTCCAAAAAATATATCAAGATAAACAGTTATTTAATAAACTTACAGCTTCATACAGCTAGGAGGTTAGATTGTTATTATGTACTGTATGCACAGTGCAGCATTGTTGTACAAGAAGTGCAACTAATTATTACCAAGGAATTATCATTAATCTATGTCACTTTTAACAGCAAACAAATGAATGAAAGCCGATAGAGAAGAGTACTAGAGGGCAAGAAAAAACAGTCTCACATCTCTTAACACCCCCCCACCCCCCCACACACAGAGTTAAATGAACATTCTTCAGAGTCCTGGGAAACAATACAGATTATTCATCTGGCTCTAAAATGGAATGGTTTGCATTTTGTTGATTACTGTACAACAGCGATAAATAGAACAAGACCTACATCCACAAGTCAATTTACCTAACAAATGTTGTGTACAGTTAAGTCTAATCATTACTAAATCCTCTTGATGGGCAGCCAAGGCAATCAAATGAATGAATCAAGGAACTAGAATAGCCTGCTGGGCCAGTGAGATTTCAGAGCCGCACCTGCTCTGTTCTTGGCTATAAACAAAACATTATTAATAGCTTTATGAGGGTGAGCATGAATGAACTGCCCATTGCATCCATATGAGCATTACATGGAGTAAATGTGACAATCTCACAGTCCGCTCGTATCTTGCCGATGACTCAGTTATCTGAATAATCAAATATGCGTCCTCTGCCTAAAGATATAGAAAAAGGGGGCAAAGGACGAGTCAGCTGAACCCTTTGAACTGGAGCACACTGCAGTACAGAGTAGATAGAGGTTTTAGATATTGTGATAAGAGCGCCTAGGGACCTGCACACACTGGTACCAAATCAACACCCTTTCATTGATCAAAAAAATCCAGTGTCAGCAGAGTTCTTCAGTTACGGAAGCAAAAGAAATCACACGCAGCTGGTCAGTAAGGTGGTTTACAAGGGTGTACCGTCTTTTACAGCTCCACAGACAGCTCATACATGCTCTACTATGACCGCTCACTGCACAGTCATGATCTCATACCACACAGGTACCACACATAGCAAAGCAATGCTTCATCCCCAGCTTTACCAACGCTGATAAAGAGTTCCAGTTACCGAATAAATTGTCTGTACGATCAGTGTCATCCCCAAATGGTCAACTTTTTCTGTAACTAATCATGCTTGTAATTAAAGATGGTGAGCTGAAGGATTAGGCTAATTTCCCAGGGTTAACAGAGCCAAACATGTTGTGCTGAGGCACTGAAGCAAAATGTGACAGGCACTGCATCACTGGAGCTTGTGCAGCCTAATGGGGGAAGCTGAGTGTGTATGTGTGTAATTGCCGGTCTGTCTGATCCCACTCTGATTAGGCTTTATCAGTAAGAAAGACAAAAGAGTCTGCATGGACCCCTCCCCTGCCCTATGGCTTCTTGCACAAACGCGCGTGCACACACACACACACACACACACACACACACACACACACACACACACACCACACACACACACACACACACACACACACACTTTTCACTCCACCCATGTCCCAAACTGGGTCCACCTGCCGGAGGGCCTGGTTGTGCAACAGCCTCTGATCCACATAAAGCTGGTTAGAGCCGTGCAAGGGCAACCCTGACTTAGCTTCGATCCAGGAGAGGCCTGGGAAAAGCCCAGCCAAACCTAAAGACTCAGACCTACGGCCATATGTTTCACACAAATAGGCATTAAGAAAGCATTACCGGGCTAATGTTGTATATATATAAACATATCTTGTACAGCCTCATCTCAATCTCTCTCCCAGTCACACAGCACACACATCTGCCCCAAATTCCATTCTGTTCAATGTAGGTGATAGAGCAGAAAATGGGCTAATGCTGTCATAAGACCCTTTCCTATTATTTGGGGGTAATCTCTCAGTTCTCTTTTCTCTCAGCCCCGTAGCTTCACTCATTCCATTCCATGTTCTCTTCTCCACTACGTCCTGTTTAATCCGTTTGTTGTTTTGTCAGATGACTAAGGTGAGTTCAGGTTCAGTTAATGTCGAGATGTTCTGATGGCCAAACAGTGGAAGCTTCTTGTCACACACTGGCTGATATAATATAGCCTAACCAGGTCAGGGCGTGTGGTATTTGAACCCCATATCTGCCTGCTGCTTATTGTTTAAAGATGTATGTATTTTTATACCACATGTTTAAGAATGAAACAAAAGAAATCATAATATTTGTTACATTTTAGACTATATTATGGTCACAGTATTTAATGTAAACATGACATAAACCTGAGCTGAGCTTTGATTGTTTTGGATATAAACATTTTTTTCTGAAAATTATCTTACCCTCTTTCTAGTTTACATAAAAACTGTTAAGTTACCTATGGTCAAGGTCAAGTTTTTGCTATTTATATGTGTGAGTGCAAAAGTACAATACCTTGTTGGTCATTATGCCTCGCATTCCTGTAGAGTGGTTGTGAGCTTCCTGTGAGGTCAGCTTGTGTTTCTTGTGAAGCAGCAGTTTCATATGCCAGCATGCAGGAGTGCTTCTGCCATGATACTGTAACTTCAGGTTTCTTTCTGGGAATCTGTTCTGCTCTACACCTCTCCTGTTACAGCATTCCCTGAACTATGGAAAAAGTGCTGCGCTGATATGTCTCGGCACATCCGAGTTCTAACTGAACTACACGCTCCTGATTAGTTGGTTTGATCTTTAACCCTGCAGTCTAAAGATCAGTAAGTGGTCATAGCCACAACATGACAGTATGTATCCAGATGTTTTTTAGTTAAAATATTTTGTGCCTGATGATGTGTGGTAGGGCAGAGATGACATAAGCATGCAGTGAAGTGCCTGTGGGTCCATGGTGTGTGTCATCAAAAACATCAGCGCACGTGACAAATCTGTCCCATATCTAATCCTAAACTATTTTTCATTTCCTCATGGCTTTAGTTCCCACCCAGGCAGGCCAAATTAAGCACTGCTGAAAATGACACAAAAGAGATTTTTTTAAATGGAAATCTATTTTTTTTGTGTCCTTTAAGGGGATCCAATGTGGCAACAATGAACCCTATTCACCAGATACGGAAAATTACATAACTCCATGTGATGCTTGACAAGAGGAAGTTTACTCAACACATGCATTTGTGAATTAGCACACAACACAAAGTTGCACTAATAATCATGCACAACAGACAGGCGCACACACACACAGCCAATGCTTGCCAGTGCATTTCCTAAGGAATTCAGAGGGTGTGAGAAAAGTCCTTTATGCTGACATTAAAAAAAACACACACATCAGCTTAGAGTGCACGTCTGGGGAGAAAGAGAACATAAAAAAAACCCATAACAAAAACAGAGG